TCCAGGCTGAGTTAAATAAACTGGACAGTGCCGTGAGCTCCTGTGCAAGAAGAGGCAGCTCTGAGCTGCTGCTCTCTAGCTCTCATGGACACTTTGCTGCAGAGCATCAAACAGCAGCTGCAATGGGGAGAGTGAGGTTGGTATTTTCTATCCTCAGCAGCATCAGAGCAAGAGGTGGGGAAAATGGGCATTGTCTTGTTTTGCAAGGAGTACAAACCTGTCCCACGCACATTAGCGTAGATCAGAAATGACTGCATGGACATGTATGAGTGATACCAGCACAACATTGGCTAAAGGAGACTAAAACCCAGCGCTGTTTGCTTACTCTGGATGCCCAAGTCAAGTCAATAACTACTGTTAATTTGAGGTTCAGGTGATGCCAAACTCTGCTCCTTCATCTTGCTGTCCCTGATGGAGGATTTGACTGAGTGTCCAGGTCATAGCCAGATCCTCAGCTGCTGGAAAGTCAGCGGAGGTCCTCTGAAGTTGTTTTACACCAGCGGAGCACCTGGTAAAAAGTTGTTTCCTTGTTTGCCCATTTCCAGGTCTGTAGCATTCAGGACCCCCTAAGGGAGGGAATGGGAGAAATGCAGATGACACGCCCGATAGAGTTTTCTCTGTGCTGCTAGCCTCTCTTTTCAGGAGCTCAGCGAAGGAGAAGAAGTAACCAGCTCTGGTATGTCAAGTGTGTCTTACTTGATAAAACACTTGAGGTTTATACAATTTCAACTTCCCATCAGACAGGCTCCTTGCCCCCGTGAAGAACACATCGGCTTCACAAGACAGAGGGCCTATGGGCAGCTCAGACAGCATTGCAACCTCCTACCTTCAAGCTGCCCAAGGCTGATGCCCCTCCTCTCCCCTAAAATTCAGAAAGAGCTAATTGGCCTCCCTTCCTCCCGCACTGACAGACAGGATGTGCCGGAAGAGCAGGCAACGATGTGAGCAAACTGCAATGCTGGAGACGGTGCTAGCATTTCAAGGCACCACGCAAAGCTGTCACATTTGCACCTAGTCCATAATCAAAACGGACTGCTCAGTAGGTATGATGGGGCATCCTTTTGAATCGAACTGTGGCCAGGACCACAAGGTACCTATCGATGCTCATCACTGTTAGGAAATAGATGCAAGAGAAGATGTTGTAGCAGTCTATGGGCAGGATGAGCTTGCAGAGGACTTCTCCTAAGGGCCAATAGTGCAGGAGGTGCTCTGCAATGTTAATGTTAATTGGACTGGAGCAGAGCACTAATGCCAAGTGCACTAATTGACCTTCTGGGGCTGGACGGGGAGAGCAAGTCGTGCAAGTCCAATGGACACATGTCCAATTTGACACAGGGAACAACATAGCAGCCAGTTCGTGGTCCTGGGTATGACTGTCAACTGCACCTGGTGGGAGGGCCTGGTGGCACTGTGGCGGGGCAATGTGGTGGAGCTACTCGTGACGGGGTAGGGCCGATAAAGTACCATGATTTTGCAACCTCCAGTGTAAGGTGAGTATAGGGCACCCCACTGCCTTGTGGTGCTCCTTGGTTGGAGAAAAGCTAAGGGACATCACCTTGACAGAAATGTGCCCTCGCTGAGGCTTTAGGCAGTCGGCAGCAGTTGCTCTCTGGCAGAAGATACAACCATGGAGGCACTGCATGGCTGGACTCGGTCTGGTGTTTGGATCCTGTCTCCATGGTTTAAAGGGAGATGGTAGGCGTTGAGCAGCCTCCATTACTCTATACTAGTCTAGGCAGATGCATCGAAGGTCTTGGTGTGATGGTCTCAGGTCTCCATTCAAGCAGATTCATCAGGCACCTGCCTAGACCTCTTATATGTACACCACGATCCAGAAGGTCAATGGTTGCCTGCTCCATGCTTCTGACACTGGCCTTATCCTAGCAATGCTGTTTGCCTTAGTCCAATCTCAACCTTTGTTCTTGAAATGGCTGCGTGATCACTGAACATTTTGAAACACCTGTTTCTTGAACCTTAGGCCTAGGACGACTCTATCTTGAATACAAGGTCCATTGCTGAAGATGGTTATCGTGGCAGGGAAGAGCACTGTAGCATGTCAATGTTATTTCATACAAGTGCCTGGTGTCTGTTTTGCATTTTAACCAAAAATTGGCAGTAATGGAGAACCCACTGCAACATGGGGAGAATGGTTTCGGTGGACCTTAGTGGTCATCTAGGTGTGCCTGGCTTCCCTTCCAGCCATCAGATCTTGTTCCATCTTAGCCAGCTGAAGGAAAGAGCCCTCTAGCATGGGATTTGTGCTACTCACTGGTGCTGTGATCACATCACCCTCGGCGTCCCCTTTGGTAATCTGATTCGAGTCCAAGCATCTCACCACGAGGAGTGCTTTCTGGTTCTGTATCTGTAACCATCCCACTGCTCTTCTCTGAACCTTTCAGTTTAGCTTAGTTCAGTCCCAACCACTGTCTGGATGGCTGCATCAGTTAGATTCTCCTTTTCCCCCCACACCAAATGCTTTATTCCCTTCTCCATGACATTTCTGCCCATAGGAGACAAAACAGTCCCCCCAGGACCCCTACATGAAGCATGCTTGGTATCAAAGCTAACGACCCTTAAGCATTAAGCTGTCATCTCCAGGCCTGCAAAGAAATGTTCCAGTGTGGGGTGTCTCCATCCTCACTCTGCTCCTGGAGCACACTAATGTGGCCAGGCTGGGAGAAAGTAAGTGTAATAACCATCCATAGCTCTCCAAAATGCATGTGCAATTCCAGGCTGAGTTAAATAAACTGGACAGTGCCGTGAGCTCCTGTGCAAGAAGAGGCAGCTCTGAGCTGCTGCTCTCTAGCTCTCATGGACACTTTGCTGCAGAGCATCAAACAGCAGCTGCAATGGGGAGAGTGAGGTTGGTATTTTCTATCCTCAGCAGCATCAGAGCAAGAGGTGGGGAAAATGGGCATTGTCTTGTTTTGCAAGGAGTACAAACCTGTCCCACGCACATTAGCGTAGATCAGAAATGACTGCATGGACATGTATGAGTGATACCAGCACAACATTGGCTAAAGGAGACTAAAACCCAGCGCTGTTTGCTTACTCTGGATGCCCAAGTCAAGTCAATAACTACTGTTAATTTGAGGTTCAGGTGATGCCAAACTCTGCTCCTTCATCTTGCTGTCCCTGATGGAGGATTTGACTGAGTGTCCAGGTCATAGCCAGATCCTCAGCTGCTGGAAAGTCAGCGGAGGTCCTCTGAAGTTGTTTTACACCAGCGGAGCACCTGGTAAAAAGTTGTTTCCTTGTTTGCCCATTTCCAGGTCTGTAGCATTCAGGACCCCCTCTGCAGCGGTGCACCCTTCCGGGGTCAGATCACTGCTGCTTCCAAGAGAATTGCATTCATCTTCCCTTAAATCTCCCACATCCAGACAGCCAGGGCTTGACATCCACGAGTGCTGCTTGTGCATCCTCTTCATTGCTAAAAGGAAGCACCCTGCTCCGTTTTCAGCCTCCTCGTTGCTAAAAGGAAGAGCCCTGCTCAATCAGCTGGTTTGCTGCATCAAGGCTATTTACTATTTAAATAGCCCAGTGCAGATATAATCATTTTATTCCCAGTGTGAAAAATGTTAATTGGTCAGATTGGCACACACACACACACACACACCCCCCTCCAGGATGAGGTTGTAGCTGCAAGCACTGGTAACGTCAGCAGAGCTGAGACCCTCCTCCAATTCTGATGAGCGAGAAAAGAGACTCTACAGCATAAGACAGCAGGTATTGCAGAGTACAGCAAGAGCCCTCGGCACATGCAGGTAAGAGGAACGTGAGGCTCTACATCTGAAACACAGGGACTCCAGCTGGAGCTGACCTTTTGTGACTGTCCTTTGGTGTCCTGGTGGGGGCAAAAGGCACTTTTCTTTGCAAAGCTGGAGGCTTAGCTGGTGAAGCTTTGATGTTGGGAGACTGGTGTGTCTGCGAAGGAATTTTTGAAAGTGTCTGGGACCAAACAGAGAGCACCAGAGGAAGGAGAAAAGATGAAAAGATGTCAGCAGAGAAGTGTCTATGTCTTTGGCTGTAGGAACAATTAACTTTTGGGATCACCAGACTCGTGTGTGCATGTGCATGTGCATGTGCATGTGCATGTGCATGTGAGAGAGAAAGAGATCTCATGCATTGCAACTGGGGTTATTTGACCCCAGCATTGTTTCCTGCCCAGAGCAGGGGGGCTAGACCCAAAGCTCTCACGGGGTCCCTTCCAGCCCTAAACTTCTGTGAATCTGTAAAAACCTTTGTCCAAGGGATTATCTTGCTAAGATCACTATAGGCAGAGCTTGAAGTTTAACTGAACTTGAATTCTTTTCCTTTTTAGACATGCTCCTTCATCTCCCTTCCCCTCTCTCCCTCCTTTCCTTTTTGCAGGGCTGCAGGAGTTGCCTGGGATGTGGATAGTGCCTGGATCTTGGCTGGCATAGATTGAAAACCCAACTCCTTGCTGCCTGAATTACGTTGCAGCGAAGAGATGCTGGAAGCCCCCAGACTTGGAGAAACGCACTGATGAGAGCGGCAGTGCTGCTTTCTGGTGTGGGAAAGCAAGTGGCTGCTGTGTAAGTAACCCAGAGGCTTCCTAGAGCGCTCCGCTCGATGTGAATAGTTTGCCAGGCATCATGCTCCCTCGACCTGTGCTCTTTCCTTCCCTGTAACCCAGAGGGGATTTTTGTTCCAGCCAATTTATGCTAAACCACAGGAAAAAGCTACCGCTCGAGCTGCTGTTGTCAGACTGAGAAGACTGTTTCTCGTTCCCCTCTCTTTTTTGGTTAAAGGAACTGTGTGTTTTGCCTGGCAGACACTTTTTTATGGCCGTGTGCTCTCTACCGAATTTTTTTAAAAATAGTCACCTTTTATAAGGAGGAACCGGACATCCCATT